ACCAATCTTGGAGTTAACATGTTACATGAAGATATGGAGGTAAAATTGCACGGTGACTTAGGTGATGATAGTGATATCTATGAATAAGAATCATAGAACCCGGAAGATATAGGCTTAACATTACAAAGTAAATTTTTATCCGATCTGGTGTCCACAGATCTAGAACTTTCGGTTGGTCTACCAGAAGTCGGTGATATATTTTGGCCATAAATGAGGAGTAAACGTAAACGTCCAAATGTAAAACATTTCAGTACATAACCATTGTTCTGTATCAAGTGGGTCAATACCACAATGAGAGATCGTGGGCATAGGGGAGATTTAGGTGATGAAGCAATAGGTTTTAAACAAAATGTCCGAATACGATATTCTTGGTCAAGAAATGCGATGAAATTACAGCGCAAAACACAAGAATTGAGACGAAAGGAAATTCACGTGCTAAAAGTTGCAACCTTCAAATTTCATCCATGTATAAGCGAAATCTTTATTTGCGAAGATTTAAGTCATTCTTTAAGTGTGTCGTGGAAGTGTGGTTGTATTTTTTCTTAACGACACAATGTTCAAAACTGAACACATAATTTCCCAGAAGATTGACAGTCATCATGTAACTTTTAGGGGAGGTTGGTAATTGTGAACGCGAGAACAAAGGTATCGAGATGGCATGGCTCACTCATGCTGGCGTGGTCAACCCACATAACCAAATGTCTTTTTGTGTCAAATATATTACTCTTTTTTCTAGTTCAAATGTGTTCATCAGTAATACTAAACGATATATTGATGATGGTTACGATTGGACGAGTCATTGTACACAACGATGTGACTTCTACGTAAGATCTTATAGATTAGGCAGTCATATCATGAAAAATCTACGATTTTGGGATTATGTCTATTATTACATTAGTCCTGATACCGAATTAGACCATAATTTTACACTGATGAGCTCGACCACGGAACCCAAACAGCCTGAATAAAGTTGAATATGTCAAAAGGCAGGTGGGTGGTGTGTTATCCACGTATAATTCTGTAAGCTGAAGTCGACGGTTTTAGTGAGGTCATGGTCGGAGTTGTGGCCTCAGGATAAAGAAAAAAATCATGGGAAAAAAGAAAAAGGGTAGTATAATGATAGAGTCCTATACCTTATCCGCTTTTAATTGAGGGGTTAGTCGCGAAAGCTCAGGGGTAGGAGTACTCGGCGACCGGAAGGCGTAAAGCTGTTGCAAAGGTTTGTGTGCCGAATCTAATCGTATGAAAACATGTGATCAGGTAGATAACTCTCGAGGGAGAGCGAACTGTCGATGTTGTATACGAGCTGTCAACGGAGGCAGAGTTCGCGTAAATTCAGACAATCGTTTGACGTTTTTGTGTGCTTGAATTACACTTTTAAGTTGGCGAAGAAATTATTCAACTAAACCATTTGATGCTGGGTGGTAGGCGGTAATGCGCATGCTTTCCGTACCAAGCAGCTGGGTCAGCGAGAAGAGTGCTTCCTGGCACTGAAGGGGTTTAGAATGTTGTGCTTCTGTACATGAAGATTACTCGCTTGGGCGACTGCCATAGCAGGGAGATCGAGCACCTGCAAAGTAGCTGCATTCACTTGGGTACGTGACAGAGCATCGTCAAAATAGTTCGACTCGCCTTTAACGTGACGAAGGTCTGTCGTGAACTGAGAGATACCGATCAAATGTCTGCACTCTCGTGGTGAGTAGCATTCAGACTTGGTAAGCATAGCATACGTTAAATGCTTATGGTAGGTGAACGGTATGAAGTTGCGACATTCTACTGCGTGCCGGAAATGTTTGATGTCACAGTATGCTGCTATGAGTTCTCGACCGAAAACGCTATATCTCGTTTCCGCGGGAGTGAGGCATCGTGAGAAAAATTCGGGAGGTAGTCAACTTCTGGAGATGTTCTTTTGTATGACGGCTCCTATGGCGAAATCCGGTGCATCAACCGCTATTCAAGACGTGGCTGATGGGTTAGGATGAACGGGAATTTTCGTTTGACTTAGAGCCGTTCTGTTCTATGAAAATGCAGTACGCGTGGCATCGTCCAATTCGAATTTGCGTGGATTACCGAGAAGTAAGTCGGTTAATGGTCGTAACCGTTCTGCCACGTGCGGGATGAAACGTCGGTAGAGGTTGACTAAACCCAGAAACGCCTTCATTTCTTTGAGTATGGACGATATAGTGTACTTCATTATTGCACGTACTTTGTCCTCACGAGGTAGAATACCCTCTTGCCTAATATTATGACCTAAGAATTTTATTTCCGGTTTCTCATGTTCACAATTGTCGAGGTTGACCATTATTCCATTATCAGAAAGGCGCTGGAATAGCAGTGTTGGATGCTGATAATGTTCATCTACGTTTGTGATACGATTAACAGATCGTCAATGTAGACGTGAACAAAATCTAGGTCTCGTACTATGCTATCGGTAAACCTTTGGAAAGTTTAAGCAGCATTCCGTAATCAAAATGGCATTCGTAGGAACTCAAACAGACAGAAAGGAGTCGTGATAGCGGTTTTCTCGATGTCTTCAAGAGCGACTGGGATCTGATGATATGCTCGCACCAGATTGATTTTGGAAAAAACGGTCATGTTCTTGAGTGATGCTATGATGTCATGGGTGTAGGGGATGGGGTAGCTATCAAAACATGTAACTTCGTTTCATGCTCGGTAGTCTCCACATGGTCTCCAACTAACCCGATCCTTTTTGCGTACCATGTGGTGAGGTGAGGCCCGGGGACTATGAGAAGGACAAATAATACTGATAGCTAGTAAATTGTCAAACCCACATTTAGCCAAAATTAATTTGCCCGGTGCTACTCGGCGAGGTTTCGCCGTGACTGGGGGTCCACGGGTGACTATGTGGTGTGCCACACAATTGGTCATTGGTGGGGTCTCCTTGAGAGGTTTAGTTAGTTGGGGGAGTTTTCGGAATAAAGCGTGGATTAAATCACCGCGCGAATGAAACACACGTTTGATTCGGTACGCATTTATGTGGGCTTCAAAGCTCATAAATTTACAGTTCCATGAAGTATCAGCTAGCTGCAGCCTTGATGGATCGACTAGCAATTCATAGTTCTGTAGGAAATCAATATGGAGTATGGCTGTGGGAATATCCGCAATGATAAATGACCACAGATACTATCATCGTCTGCTCCGGTTGACCGTAGGCTGTCGTGTACTGTAGGTAGGTATAACTGAACCATTCACAGCACGTAGTCGAAGCATAGCTTCAGACTTACTGTTACCAACACGTACGACAGAAACTTGGACACCTGCAACCACTAGTTACCTAGCGTTAGTGTGATGATGGTGCGCATAAAATAAGCGACCAACCTGAGGGGAAGGGCCGGCGAGTACAGCCGCATATACTCGCCGGGTTGCTTTACGGCAATGTGACCTGGCTCGGAGGAAATAGGGTTCTGGTATGGATATAACTATTCCCATCACCATTAGCCGTAGGTCAACTTGCATCGAGATCGATGTTCGAACGTGATGTCGAGGCAACTATGTAATTGTCTCGGGTGCTAGTCCGTGCCAGTATCTTATCTGCTAAGAGGGCCTCCTGATTAAGTGGGGCGTCCTCGAGCAAAGCCGTAACCGCTGGTGGTAAATGTGCCGGTAGAGATTCGAGCTATAACCCCTTAGAGATTTCGAAATCCACTGTCGTGGGTCCTGCAAGAGATTGCGGGCGCGTGAGGTGATAGCTCGCTTAAATCATCTAGGGTGTGACGCGCTAATAAAGTCCTGAATCTTTCTTCCCTTGAAGGAAGGAAATGTGTGAGGATTGCCTCCTTGAGACAATCGTAAGCGTTAGGTACATTTTAGTTGTGGACAACCTCACGAACAGTATTTGTGTTATTCCCAGGTGGAGTTTCCAGACCGTAGGCATAATTTTGCCGTTGGTTCGTTATGCGACGTATCTCGAATTTAAATTACAGTGCCGCGAACCAAACTTATAGATCGTGGAGAATAAAGTAAACAGGTAGAAAATTGATGGTTTGTACCTTTGAGTCTATTATATTAATTCTACCATTATCGTTATCCAACATATTGAGTTGTTGCCAGAATATTATATATTGAAAAATATCAATACGAATGTGTGCAACAAAAGTGGATAGATAGATAATAGACTCACCTTGTTAATATTCTTTGGAAGGTTTTCAAGAACTTGAAACGTGTTCGAAATTCTGGCTCACTAGATATAGTTGGCATCGAGTCGCGATTGACTATGATCCCCACTACAGGAAGATGACGTGCCAGATATCGAGTTGGATCCCTCCATAGGCCAAAAGCCTGTAGGTTTTTGACGGTTGCAATAAGATATATTTTTCGGCGATCTCGTGCTATCGAAAGAATACCGAGACGTGTCAAAGTTTACAAGGGAAACTACCTAGCGTAAGCGAGTTCGTGTAAGGTCACAGGCAACGGAAGAATAGCATTCAGTCTACTAGCCTGAAGCTATCCTTGTACTGTCTTTGAAGATTATGTCAGATCTAGTTTCTAATGTCTTGTCTGAGTCCTTTTACAACGCGTTTCGTTTCAAGCCAAGGATCTTCTATTTAGACTTAGTAATCACTTATGAGACTGAGGATATTGTCATGTATTGTCATTCATGTTAAGAGCTTGTAACATAAAATAAGATCACGTTAAATCTATTAAAAATGCATAGAGATCAAAAGTGTCAGCCTCTCAGGATTGCGCCGCGAACACAGACTGGTTAGTAGATACTAGGTCTCTTTGACCTATTCTAGGAAGACAGACTGAGACACCTACACTTATTTCCATTATCCTATAGCACATTACGGAGTGATCTAATATTGGCTTGTCGTATACTGAACTATGAATTCGGTATTAGTATGTCTTACCTTTCCCTTCCATATGGGACTGATTATCTGGGAGGACATTTTAAGAAAGTACAAAATCCAAGATCAAATTGTTTGTTTTGAGTTCCGTTTCTCGCACCGAGTGGTGAATTACTGGGATTCTCTATCAGTGCACATAGTATCAGCACCTTTTGTCGATACATTCAAAACGAGGTTGGATATTCACAATATCACATTGTTATAGGTCGATAGACTTATTGTCCCTACAAATGAAGACAACCATTTGAACTATATTTTATATAGTGACAGTACCCGCGTTAATGAACCACAAGGTCAATTCCGCGATAAAACATGCGTCTAAATGTTGTTGTGGCAGTTTCTGAAAACTGGGGTATCGGAAAGGGTGGAGGGTTACCTTGGAAAATAAAGTAAGGATCAGCTTCGATAACATACTGAGTCTGTTAATATCTTAAAATAAACATTTGTAATTCTTAGACCGAATAGTTTGCAGTGTTTTGAAAGGAAATAAAAACTTTAGACAGTTCAAATAGACCATGTCTTTTTAAAAGCTCGCCCTTAAATGTTGGTTAAACGGCTATTAAATTCTGGATATAATTCTACCTAAACTGTTATCACCTTCCACTACCACCTCCCTGCAGATATCTATTTCAAAAGATTGGCGCAGACAGATATTTCAGTGATTACTAAATCAGCAATGGTTGCCTTTAGTATTTTTCTAGCCTTAATAATGGGTTGGGGTTGTATATATATAGGTTCAACGTATTTTTCAATCAACATATGTAATATATGCACCTCAATTATCAAAGCTGAGTATTTAAATTTCAAAACTCAATATTAGTGTTGATTTTCTTTGCGAAAATATGCATTTAGATACAGTTTATGGGTTACCTGTGAGTCCTTGTTTTAGGACCTGGATCATAATTCTATTGTAAAGGATAAGAGTAGTGTTCAAACTGACTTGGCTATAGTGTTGCAATTTTTAAAAGTTAGTTACTGATAACGTCAAGCTTGCGCGACAAGCAATAGTCTTTCTATGAATAATTTTGTCTGTAATTATCCTATTGATGCTTCAACGGTTGCGTGTTTCTATGAAAACTTTCTTCCATTATCAATGTGAGTTCTGGCAGTGAGCAATGGACTTCACACCACCTCACTAATACACTGCCAAGGAAAGTAGAGCTGTAGTAAATAGTTGGGATCGGAAAGGTGCCTAATCATAAATTATTGTGTAAAAACAGTGTTACTATGTATTGAACTGTACAACTTAAGTGAGAAAACAATCACGAAATAGTTTTACAGATCAGGAAAAAACACCTTTTATTCTAAGCTATTCTTGACAATGCCTGAGGCCACAAAGTTTCTGGATATTTGGTATACCGCCAGCAGATTTTTAACAAGTCGAGGTGTTAATTCAACTTATACATCTTTCATCCCATGTGGTTGTCATAAAACAGTTGAAGTGGTTTTATATACTTATCCCTAGTATCTGAGAATAATATGCTATGGTGGGATCGTTGGGATGATATGCGTAGACTGATCACAGCATCAAACTCAGTATTTAAAGGCAGTAATGCTTACAAAACGGCCATTCTGCCTTACTGTAAAACATGCTCTCAAGTCCTACGAATATTTACTAGGAATTTCTATCAAGTCCTAGCAGGTTCTTTAAGACTATAATGACCGAAAATGGAACTTCTGGAATCGCCAATGAAAATTTAATCGGATTTTTCAACACAAAACAATTTTACCGATATATTATACACTTATCCTCTTACAGCCAGACTAACGTCGTGATACAGCAAACCTGGTGCATATTTTCATTAGGCTGTTGGACTATATGTAAAATGGTCTTACCTATTTGAAAACCACCAAAACACAGAGGTACTTAGGTAAAAAGACTTCTCAATTATTCTCAAAACTTCATACGTGGTGATTGTAAGCAGGCTGCTGTCAACATTTTATAGATACTTCAATGAGTATGGTTAATGTAAAGTAGGTTTGTCCAAACGAAGTAACTAGATCGTGTTTTTGAGATGAATATTATTCAAGATCGGTTTTCCACCGAAGAGTGGCTTTATCTAGTAGCGGTTATTCGGTTTTTTTAAAGGGTAGGTCTTTTGGTCTATAGATCATAGGTTCGAACCATACATGATCTTAATTTTTAGCTCCAGAATAGTATCAATAACCTTCGTGTAAGAGGTATGGCTGAAAGTGAGTTACATGAATCTATTTATGATAAATAAATTGCATTTTCATTATTTCTTGTTCAAGAGTTGGCTGGAAGGTAGTGGCGGCCAAACCAAAACATAACAACAGTCCATAAAGTCACTGACAACTGAACTCAGCCATGTTAATAGGTACAGACTGCCTCGTTTGAGTCCGCGTGATTATCATAACAAATGGTTAGAAACTTTAAATGAAACTGCTCAAAATCGCTTTCAATGGCCTAGACGCATCCATTTTGTCTTCTCCCAAATCCTGATATTCTAAAGTCCCCATGACTTTTTTTGTTTTTATTTCACTAATTTATATTTTCTCTTCTACTCATTTACTTGATGCCTAATTTTTTCTATTACCACTGATACTTTTACTATCTCTACTATTCTGGGGACTAGCCTGACAACTTCATTTCTCTATGCTAATTGGGCATGGCAAGTTGAACCGATATATATACGTACAGGTTCTACATTATTTGTGACTGGCTAACTATCCCTTCAATGTGGTTCATATATTATTCTGATCAATAAAATTAGCAATAGAATCTCCTAAAAGTGTAATGTAAACAAGCAATCAGTCGAAAAGTCTCATCACGTTATTACTTAATCGCTTTAATTCGTTCGCTTTTAGTGAGCTATTGTAATCGTTATATAATCTGAATGTTGCACTAATGTACTAAGCTTGTCACTTATTTTCAGGAAAGACATGGAGTTTTTCAAAACAGTAACGACTAAAGCTCATCCAGGTAAAGTTTTTAGCCTAAAAATAAATCCAGGCCTCAAAAATGCGGTTGTTATGGGGAGAGTTACATGGGAATCTATACCAGAGAGCTTCAGACCACTAAAGGATAGGATTAACATAGTGGTATCAAGCACGCTATCACAGTAATTCCTATTTATAACTTACCAACCATTTCAAGCGCACCATCGTGTGTTCAAATTGTTCCCAATCTTAATGCAGCGATTGACTTGTTATATAATGAAGAATTCAGCTCTATAGTAGATGAGGTTTTTATTATCGGTGGGTATCGTCTTTACAAAGTGAGTTAGATTTTATGCCCTATTTTGTATCTCTGGAGGCTTTCGCACAGTTATTCTAGACTGATCAACCATAAAAAGTATGGACTTACTAAATTTTTTGTATTCTTAAAATTTTTTAACTTTTGCTCTGTTATTGGTTAGAAAAACGGTCAGATAGATGGAAAAACTAACTTCACTATTAACGATACATTAGTTTCCTTTATCCTCCATTTATTAAATTAATCATTTTATATGTTTCTTTCTAGTGATTTTATTATCCTTATTCGTTTATATTAACTTAGTCTGTTCTTAAAAACTGGTATCTCTGATCGATTTAAGTAGGTTTATATAGAAGATGTCAAGATGCACAACAAAGAACTAAGAGTATTTATGTAGTCTACAATAGTAAAATAATGAGTCATAAAGAACGCGAGTGGGAAAGGAATGAAATCGAAAAAGAACCTAATGATTCCACTTACCTGTTTCGAAGGTGTCTAGAAAACAGTTTCAGTTTTGATAAACATGTCTTATTGAAAGTGTTACCTTAGGGGTAAGGAAGTATCTTCTTATGTCTATTTAGATGTGATCGTAATGAAAATTTAGCAGAGTTAATTTCATTTATTGGATGCCTACTGGGTGTTAGGCTAAGATTTTGGAAAAAACGGTTTGTCATTGGTACGACCATATTCATGAACGTACACATATCGAATGGTTGGTATTCATTAAGGGTTTTGTATGTAACTGGGCATTAAAAGGAACCACAAAATATTCTTTCTTTTCAGGTTTAACCAAAACAGCAGCCAAGAGCACTTTATGAAGTCTATTGTGTAGGCGAAATTATTATATGCATTTGAGTTCGAATTATTTACACTTAGACTTTTGTATTTACAGACAACCTATATTTTCTTAATTTAGGAAGCCTTAAAACAGTCCATATATCCGGTTCGTATCTATTGTACGCACATACTAAGTGAAGTGGACTGCGACACTTATTTCCCAGAAGTCGATTGGGATAAGCTGAAAAAAGTTGAGTAAGTATTTTAATCTTTCCAGTACTTCTTGTAAGGATTTTTATTTTATAGATAATTATAAATAAATGAATGAAATTACTAATTTATTTGTAGTTCAGTATTTCATGGTCATCTTATTTGAAGATCCAATAAACCTTCAAGGACTTTTTATCACAATTCTACTTCTACTTAAATCTCAATGAAACATGTACAACATTTGAGTAGAATAATATGGTCCATCTATTTTGTGGATATCAGTTGTTTTAAAAATGGATTTACATACTTTTGTTAGTTTTACAAAAAGTGTCGACTGAGATAGTAGCATAGAATGCGGACTATTCAGGGGCGACAGATGTAAAGTCATTCTTAATAGTCTTCCAAAATGTTAACTGTTTATCATTATCATCACCGGATTTTTCAGTCCCTAAGGAGCTTTAGGGAGTTAGTGAAATAAATGGGTTCATATGGCTCTTTTCAAATGTTGCTCTTTCTATATATTCGTCTTTTCTGAATACATCAGTCAGTCATAAACAATGTAGGACTTATTATAAATATGCATAGGCTTTAGTTTTCGCACTCGCAGAATAATAATATGTGATTAAATTTGGTCGGTTCAAAAACAGCTTTGTCAATCGAACACCACACATTGTCTACGGCTTTTTAGAATACTCCATCAGTGATTTTCCTTCAAGAGAACCTGTGTTCAGCACGATTTTGTTGAACGTCAAGAAAATAGTCTTCTTCTCTATTGTAACCTTGAAAATTTATTTATTTTATTTATACACATGAATATTGGCACATGGGGGTACCAGATACATATGCGCCACACAAATCTCATTTGATTTGTGTGAGGGCTGTGATACTGCTCAGGTGCCCAAACTGAAGCAGGTGGTTTTCTTAAGGGGCCACACCCGGGATCTTTAACCTAAAGGTCTGATCCACAAGGCAGTGGAGCATCGTAAGGAGATGCAGTCCCATAGTAGCCGGTGACCAATAATTGGTTCATACGCCATTTGTTCCCTCAGGATACTGGAGCCCATGTGCACCATTGGTTTGGAATCAGGGTTTTCCAACTCCCCTAGGTGGACTTTCCGTGTCCACCAACCCGGTTAAAGCGCCGGACATTCACTTTTCGTCCTCTCACTTTTGTGAACAACACTAGTGCCACGAGAAGGCAGTGAGTAGGACTTCCCTGACAGAGGCTATATTACACCTGGCCATATGAGAGCATTTAGAGAGGGAGAGCGGACTCTTCGCACTCTCGACCGTACCAGGGCATTTTGGGGGCAACCTTGAAAAGCGTCCATTCATATGTATTCATATTTTTTCTCCTGTACGTTTGTTTATGATTAATTTTATGTGAAACCGAGGGACCTTGTCTATTTGCTTGTTGAAGTCTTGAAACTAATACCATGTGGACTTAATGCTGTTCAGCGAAAGTTTGTTATATCTGAGGGATTTTTTAGAAAGATGTCGGTGGTTTGTAAGACATTGACTTCACATAACTATCATATCATATCTATAGTGATCAGATAAATGATCTCATTGTCGATCCTTGTTGACTATTGTTCAAAACATACTTAGGTAAGTGTTTTCGTATAGCTTTAACTTTTTTAGGGTCTGTCTTTTGTAAGTATAGAGACGATGTCGGAAAATATTCAACGAATTAGCAGATGATTTTCAGTAGGTTTCATTATGTCAAAGGATGAATAGAAAGCCAGCGAATATTGGAAACATATCTTATTCCATGATAGGCCTTTACATTATAAAATTGATGTTAAATTCCCCCAAAATGGACACGAAGCCCTAAGAAAAGCAAATAGTCTTCGATTAAAATTTATTTCTACATTTGTTAACTCCTTTCCTTCAGTCAGCTAGTAGTTATATTGGTGCCAAAAATAAACAGTCGTTAAGTTGTTGTCACCGCTCTGATTTCAACATTTGAATATAGTTAAGAATACCAACTGATAAAGTGGGAGTGATTATTTCAAAAGTCAAAAACAGCAGTCTGCATTCCATATTTCTTTACAAAATATTGTCTTGTTGACCAGTTCAATTTCTTTTTGTTTAGTCTACCTGATATACCGGCGGATACTTTCACAGAGAAAGGATTTACGTTCAAATTCTGTGTTTATGACGTCCCATCGGAACAGTTTATATAATTTGTAAATTTATCAGTAGATATCAAGAAATCAAATATTTATTTGTAAAATTTTTAATTTTAAATACAAATTGTTTTTATACGTCTCGTTTACTTTCATCATACTTGATGTAAACCAAGACGATTTAAAGAAAAGATTTTGTTATATTAATCGGCTCATCACCACTTACTTACATCTGTTATCCCTGGTACAGAAGCATAGGTCGCACAAGAACACTCTCCATCCAACCCTGTCCTGGACAATCCTTTCCAGTTAACATTCATCCTTTTCATATCCGCTTCTATTTCCCGGCGTAATGTGTTCTTTGTCCTTCCTCTTTTCCACTTCTCTTCCGGATTCCAAGTTAGGGCTTGCCTCGTGATGCAGTTTGGTGATTTCCTCAATGTATGTCCTATCCACTTCCAGCGGTTTTTTTTTAAATTTCCTCCTCTGGTTTGTCCTCTCCCACAGAAGGCTTTTGCTGATGGTAACCGGCAAATTGATGTTGAGTATTTTACGTAAACAACTATTTATAAACACTTGCACCTTCTCGACGATGGTTGTAGTGGTTCTCCACGTTTTAGCTCTGTTCAGTAGGACTGTCTTGACGTTCGTATTGAAGATTCTCACTTTGGTATTAGTTGACAGTTGTTTTGAGTTCCATATGTTCTTCAATTATAGGAATGCGGTCTTTGCTTTGCTAATCCTCGCCTTTATGTCTGCGTCCGATCCTCCTTGTTGATCAATGATGCTTCCCAGGTACGTGAATAATTTCACATCTTCCAGGGTTTCGTCACCAAGTGTGATTGGGTTGGTGTTCTCCGTGTTGTATTTGAGAAGCTTGCTTTTTCCTTTGTGTATGTTGAGGTCTATTGATGCAGAGGCTACTGCTACATTAGTTGTCTTCGTCTGTATTTGTTCGTGTGCATGGGATATAAGGGCTAGGTCATCTGCGAATTCCAAATCGTCTAATTGATTCTGAGATGCCCATTGTATTCCGTGCTTCCTATCAGATGTCGAGGTTTTCATAATCCAATCAACCACCAGAAGAAAGAAGAAGGGGGGAGTAGACAACCTTGTCTGACTCCGGTTCTTACTGGAAATGCATCTGTCAGCTGTCCTCCATGCACTACTTTGCACTGTCGGATGAGTTCTGGACAATGTTGACAATCTTCTCAGGAACTCCATAGTGTCAAAGACGTTTCCATAATGTTCTGCGGTCCACACTGTCAAAGTTGATGTATAGTGACGAATTCCACTCAACTGACTGTTCAACAATGATCCGTAGTGTCGCAATTTGGTCTGTGCACGACCGATCCTTGCGGAATCCAGCCTGTTGATCTCGAAGTCGAGCGTCCACTGCGTCTTTCATCCGGTTCAGCAACACTCTATTGAAATCTTTTCCTGGTACTGACAGAAAACTGATGCCTCTGTAGTTCTCACATTTGCTCAGATCTCTTTTCGTTGGTATCCTGATGTGGTATCCTTCTTTCCAGTCCGTTGGCACTTGTTCCTCTTCCCAAATCTTTTTGAATAGAAGGTGAAGCATGTTTGCAGTTACTTCAATGCTTCAGCTGGCATATTATCAGGTCCTGCTGCTTTCCCATTCTTGATTTGTCTGACGGCCATCTTGATTTCTTCGGTCGTTTGTGGAGTGACAGATATAGCAATGTTTGTGTGTGCTGCTTCGATGTCCGGTGGATTCAATGGGGCTTGTCTATCCAACAGTTCGTCGAAGTATTCTACCCATCTTTTCCTCTGTTCTTGAATCTTCGTGATCGTCTTCCCTTCCTTGTCTCTCTGGTTTACTACATTTACCTGCTAGTTTCTTCGTTGTATCACATAGTTGTTTTATATTCCCTTCCCTTGCAGCTTTTTCCGCAATCGTTGCTAGTCCTTCCATGTATTTCTGCTTGTCGTCTTTAATGCTCTTCTTCACTTCCTTATTTACTTCTGTATAGTCTGCTTGCGCCTTGACTTTCTCTGCTCGTGTTCGACTGTTGTTAATTGCTGTCTTCTCGTTCTTCCTTTCTTCAACCTTGTCCAGCGTTCCCATAGAGATCCATTCCTTATGTTGATGCTTGTTGCGACCGAGAACCTCCTGACACGGCGAAGTTAGTGCTTCTTTTATCCCTTTCCAGTTGTCCTCCATCGTAGTTTCTTCTTTCAGTGGATCCTGCAAAGCTTAGAACCTGCTGTTGAGAGTTATCTTGAATTGATTGAGTTTGTGAGTATCTCGAAGAAAGTCTGCATTGAGCCTTTGTAATGCTGTTCCTCCAGTTGTCCAGTCTTTCTTTAGCTTCAGTTTCACCTTTGCAATCACCAGCTAGTGGTGATCTGAATCTATGTCAGCTTCTCTCCTGGTTCTCACATCTTACATTGTCCTTCAGAATTTTTTGTTGATACAAATATGATCTATCTGGTTCTATGTGGTGTGGTCCGGTGAGATCCATGTAACTTTGTGTGGAAATATTGTGCCGCCTATAACCAATTTGTTGAATGCACATCTATTTGCGAATCTCCCCGTTTGCATTTCTCTCTTCTAGTCCATGTCATCCAATTATATCTTCATATTCTGTGTTGTCCACTCCGGCTTTAGCATTTAGGTCTGCCATTAGGATGGTGAGGTCCTTTCTTGAGCACTTGGCTATGATTGATTGCAGCCTCTCATAGAACTGGTCTTTATCGTCGTCGTTGCTATCATTTGTGGGTGCATAACGTTGGATAACATTTATTGTGATCCCCTCCTTCTTTCTTTTGAATGATGCATTGATAATTCTGGATCCATGAGATTCCCATCCTACAAGTGCATTTCGTGCTTCTCTGGACAACATTAGAGCAACTCCATGAGTGCGTGGGGCATTTTCCTCTTGGTGACCGGAGTGCAGCAGTATCTCTCCTTTGCTGACCAGCTTGTGTCCAATGAGTTTCGCTGATCCCAAGTACTGCCAATTTGTATCTCCTCATTTCCATTGCTATTTGACTGGTCTCCCACATTGTCCGGACGTTCCATGTACCTATAAAAATTGTTGCTCTGGTTGTTAGGAGGGGCATCGGCCTCGTGACTTCCGAAGAATCCCGGCTTTCATCGTGAGGCGTCATAATTCTTCATTCAACTTTGAGGGGAGAGTTTAAATGGTTCGAATTATTTTTTCTGGTTAGCGTTTTTAGCGAGTTAGTTTTCTACGGGATGGGGTCGCTAACCCCATGCCCAACAATCCTCCTTTGTATGGGTTTGGGACCGGCAGTTACTCTTCTAGAGGTAAAATAACTAATTGATCTTATAATGAAGTTGTTGAATATAAATTAATAGCAATCAAGAATAACATGAGTTGAGATCACTCAGTCAAAAAATAGTTATAAATTTGGTGATGTATTTAAAACAAGAGAAAAAACTGCAAGAATGATGTACTGAACTGGCGATAATGTCACCATTGTGAAGAAAGATTTGCAACTATTTCTTTTCGGATACATAGGTCCGACCTAGGTCAACTGACGACTATTGCTTCGGTGAGTTTGAGTAACGATTGATGTTGGAAGATTTCAGTCTATCAACTTAATGTCATTTGTCAGATGTCTTGCAATACCACTGCTAAAATCCATTACTCTGATTGACCTGAGACTTTTTAGGATATCTTCTTGAAATCACTTTCTGTTCAACCAATTTAACTGCTTGGTAGGTAAATGTAAATTTGTATGATCAGTTGGCTGTAACATGAAAGGGTTATCTATCAAACTTTCACCGGAGTAAGGAATATATTATGTTTGTACAGAATAATCCGCTTGGCTGTAAGATGAGTCCTATAAAGTGTGGTTTTAAGCTTCACTTTATTATCATTACAACATCGTCACCTTTGATTCAACTGTAGTGAAAAGGTGTTTCTTTCCTGCTGTAATTTCTTGGGCATTTCGCTTTTACATTTCCCTTATTTCTTAATAGATTTCCTTCTATATCCATTGTTCCTTAAACATTCTTTAAGTTTCAGTAATTTCACCTGTGTATCAGTACTACATATCCGTTTCGTTCTGATATGTAACTAATCAGACAAAAGCTGTTAAGGTTTAGATAAACACCATCCCATGTATCTTTTCGATAAACTGAGTGTTGAACTGTACTATCCTCCCTTTGTTGTATGGTAATGTCAAGAACTTACTTACGCCTGTTACCCCTCGTCGAGGAGCATAGGCCGCTCACCAGCATTCTCCATCCAACTCTGTCCTGAGCCTTCCTTTCCAGTTGCTATTCAGCCTTTTCATATCGGCTTCTATTTCCCGGCGTAGTGTGTTCTTTGGCCTTCCTCTTTTCCGCTTCCCTTCCGGATTCCAAGTTAGGGATTGAGTCGTGATGCACATTGGTGATTTCCTTAATGTATGTCCGATCCACTTCCAACGTCTTTTCCTTATTTCCTCTTCAGCTGGAAGCTGGTTTGTCCTCTCCCATAAAACGCTGTTGCTGATAGTATCCGGCCAATGGATGTTGAGTATTTTGCGTAGACAACTGTTTATAAATACTTGTACCTTCCTGATGATGGCCGTAGTAGTTCTCCACGTTTCAGCTCCATACAGTAGGACTGTCTTGACGTTCGTATTAAAGATTCTGACCTTGAAATTGGTTGAGGGTTGTTTTGAGTTCCATATGTTCTGCAATTGTAGAAATGCTGCCCTTGCTTTGCCAATCCTTGCCTTTACATCTGCATCCGATCCTCCTTGTTTATCAACGATGCTCCCCAGGTACTTGAATGTTTCCACCTCTTCCAGAGTTTCGCCATCAAGTGTGATTGGGTCGGTGTTCTCCGTGTTGCATTTGAGAATCTTGCTTTTTCCTTTGTGAATGTGGAGGCCTATCGATGCGGAGGCTACTGCTACATTTGCTGTCTTCATCTGCATTTGGTCGTGTGTATGAGAGAGGAGGGCTAGGTCATCTGCGAAGTCCAAATCATCTAATTGATTCTGAGAAGTCCATTGTATTCCGTATTTCCCTTCGGATGTCGAATTCTTCATAATCCAGTCAATCACTAGAAGGAAGAGGAATGGGGAGAGTAGACAGCCTTGTCTGACTCCGGTCCTTACTGGAAATGCATCTGTCAGCTGTCCTCCATGCACCACTTTGCACTGTAATCCATCGTATGAGTTTTGAATAATGTTGACGATCTTCTGAGGAACTCCATAGTGTCGAAGAAGTTTCCACAATGTTCTCCTATCCACGCTGTCAAACGCCTTCTCATAGTCGATGAAGTTGACGTATAGTGATGAGTTCCACTCAACTGATTGTTCAACGATGATCCGTAGTGTCGCAATCTGGTCTGTGCACGACCGATCCTTACGGAATCCAGCCTGATGATCCCTAAGTTCGGCGTCTACTGCGTCTTTCATCCGATTCAGCAGCACTCTGTTGAAAACTTTTCCTGGTACTGATAACAAACTGATGCCTCTGTAGTTCTCACATTGGCTCAGATCTCCTTTCTTTGGTATCTTGATGAGATATCCTTCTTTCCAGTCCGTTGGCACTTGTTCCTCTTCCCAAATCTTTTTGAATAGAAGGTGAAGCATGTTTGCAGTTATTTCAATGTCTGACTTCAGTGCTTCTGCTGGTATATTGTCAGGTCCTGCCGCCTTCCCACTTTTGATTTGTCTGATGGCCATCTTGACTTCTTCGATCGTTGGTGGAGTGACATCTATTGGAAGGTCAGTGTGGGCTGCTTCGATGTTCGGTGGATTCGATGGGGCTGGTCTATTCAGCAGTTCCTCGAAGTATTCTGCCCATCTTTTCCTCTGTTCTTGAATCTCAGTGATTGTCTTTCCTTCTTTGTCTTTGACTGGTCTCTCTGGTTTGCTATATCTCCCTGCCAATTTCTTCGTTGTATCATATAGTTGTTTCATATTCCCTTCTCTTGCAGCTTTTTCCGCCGCCGTTGCTAGTTCTCCCATGTATTTCTGCTTGTAGGCTTTAATGCTTTTCTTCACTTCTCTGTTTGCTTCTGCGTAGTCTGCTTGTGCTTTGACTTTCTCTGCTCGTGTTCGGCTGTTGTTAATTGCTAGTTTCTTGTTCTTCCTTTCTTGAAGTTTGTCCAGGGTCCCCATAGAGATCTATTCCTTGTGATGGTGCTTCTTAGGACCAAGAACCTCCTGACACGTTGAAGTTAGTGCTTCTTTTATCCCTTTCCAGTTGTCCTCCAAAGTAGTTTCTTGTTCTTTCAGTAGATCCTGTAGAGCTTGGAACCTGTTGTTGAGAGTTATCTTGAATTCATGGAGTTTGTCAGTATCTCGAAGGAAGGCTGTATTAAACCTTTGTAGTGCTGTTTGTCCAGTTGTCCAGTCTTTCTTTAGCTTCAGTTTCACCTTTGCAATCACCAGCTAGTGGTGATCTGAATCTATGTCAGCTTCTCTCCTGGTTCTCACATCTTCCATTGATCTTCGGAATTTTTTGTTGATACAGATGTGATCAATCTGGTTCTCTGTGGTGTGGTCCGGTGAGATCCATGTAGCTGTGTGTATGCGTTTGTGTGGGAATATTGTGCCGCCTATAACCAATTTGTTGAAAGCACATAGGTTTGCAAGTCTCTCCCCATTTTCATTTCTCTCTCCTAGTCCATGTCGTCCAATTACATCTTCATATCCTGTGTTGTACACTCCAACTTTAGCATTTAGATCTCCCATAAGGATGGTGAGGTCCTTTCGTGAGCACTTTGCTATAATTGATTGCAGCCTTTCATAGAACTGATCTTTATCATCGTCGTTGCTATCATTTGTGGGTGCATAACATTGGATAACATTCATTGTGATCCCTTGCTTCTTTGTTCTGAATGATGCTTTGATTATCCTGGGTCCATGAGATTCCCATCCCACAAGTGCATTTCGTGCTTCTCTGGACAGCATTAGAGCAACTCCCTGAGTGTGTGGGGCATTTTCCTCTTGGTGACCGGAGTACAGCAGCATCTCTACTGTACCTAGCCTTTGTTGTCCAGTTTGTGTCCAATGGGTTTCGCTGATTCCGAGTACTGCCAAGTTGTATCTCCTCATTTCCATTGCTATTTGGCTGGTCTTTCCTGTTTCCCACATTGTCTGGACGTTCCATATACCTATAAAGAGTGTTGCTCTGGTTGTTAGGTGCATCGGTCTCGTGACTTCCGAAGAATTTCGGCTTTCATCATGAGACGTCATTATTCCTTCAACTCCCAGGGCAGAGTTTAAATGGTTTGGATTATTTTTTCTGGTTAGCGTTTTTTTAGCGAGTTAGCTTTTCTACGGGATGGGGTCGCTAACCCCATGCCCAACCCTCCTCCTTTACCCGGGCTTGGGACCGGCAGTAACTCTAGAAGAGCTACAGGCGGAGTTTAATGTCAAGAAAGTGGAATTTATCAACGTTTTTCAGTGCTCTGGTAATTTATTTTAATAAGCCTCGTTGATCATTACATGTAATAAAAGTAACGTCAAAATAATTCGCATAATACATCATTTTATTAGTTACTCCCTTAAGCTCGATCTTTTCAGGGTTAGCCAAGAATATATCCACAAGGAAAGGATTAAGTTAACTACCTTTTGCTACCCCATAATTTTAACAGTGTTTAACGTTATGAAATCGATTTTATCCATTTCCTAGTGTTAAGCCGTAAACTCATCACCTTTATGATTTCCATAAAATATATTAATCATTATGGATACTTGTTATATCTGAAGCGTTACGAATTCACTAGTAGCGAATGGAACAAAGACACGTGACCAGAGACCGATAACTAGCTATTCTGTCGCGACCCAGCTAACTAGAGTAAGAAGTTCAAGTTGGAGCGGGGACGTTATATTCCGTAGTAGCCAGAAGCACAGCAATCAAATAAGGAAAAAAGTCAAGCGTATTTATACAGCAACAAATTGTCCTTGGGCATCGTTAATAAATAGTACACACAAAGAAACAATGGACCAATAGCGTTTAAGATAGTTACAAGTGGGAAATATGATGTGAAGGTGAAAAGAGCGCGTTTTACGCGAAAACAGCTAAATTCAAATTTCCAAAATTAAAAAATTGAGCCACTTATCAAGTAAGTTCCGGGAATTTGACATCCCTAACAATACTACTGCACAAGATACATCCAATTTAACATCATCTCATAACAGGTCACAAATAGACGTCATACCATCTTTACACTGTCTTGGTACAGAACGCAAGTAACATTTAAGAAACAACGGTAATGAAACTAAGAAATAAATGTAGCGAACGAGATTTGTATTTGAATAAGTAGAACTTTATGAGTACATAACTATAGAGTTCACTTTATAATAAGAAAGATGGATTATGAAATTCGACCTCAAATGAAATTTAGAACGCAGGATATAACTATAAAATGAGAAACGTTCAAGTTTTGTTTAAAGTAGGTAAATGAAGATTTCTCAAATAAGAAATGACTCAGGGAACTAACACATTGGCATTGGACCAAACTTTGGGGATACATAACAGGATGTAACCTCATCTTAGGAAGTAGGTATCATTACCAAGGTTTGACTTGATAATTTGGAATAAATTGAGTAGATTGTTATGAATATATATTTATCTTAGAAAGGTTCAATAAGCTGAAATATAAGATCCCGTTAGACTAGCACACATTTACCATCATATTTGCATAACTTAGACGTCTTCTACAAACATGTTGACATTTTTGTGGTGTTTAGACAGCATTCACATCATTTTATTATTGCTCATTTAATTAGCATATTACGTCACCCTTGACTGACCTGGTCAATAAATACATTATTATTGTCCACCTACGTTGACTGGTTTTTACATACAATTTTAACTTCACGATTTGATTTGCCTGAAAATCCATGTCCAGTATACATCACCTAGTAGTCATTTCAACACAAAGAAAGCTAACAAACCTGGTAAATAATCCTAAATCTATACAATGTATTTTAGATATAAACTCGGTTATTTCGTTTGTGATGAAAACGTATTGGAATTTTCTTCATTTGTCATAATTTTGTGAGAATTACTAAACAATATACGAATATTACCGACACATTCAGATATATCACTTATGATCAATCTATAATTTGTATTATTTCTTCAATCATCACTTTACCTATTTATTTTTTGAATGGTTAGTAGTAATATTTAAAAGGATATGCGGTTGAAGTGGATCCACTAAGGTACATTATCCTGTTTAAGTGTCATTCCCGATTTATTCGAGTAAAAATTGTGGGGATTGTGCATGAAACTTCGCAGTGAAATATAAGTACAACCTATGAAACAAACTGTTTCAGACTTGAATACAAGGATGAATAACAACCATTGCTTGTTATACAAATTTTTTGGGTGATTGAGCTATTTTATTGGAAATGTTTTGTTCTTGGAGGTGATTAGTGCGAACAGAAAAATAACTACCAAACTCCTCCTTAAGAACACATCGTTTCCATCATCTGAATAGAATATACTGTACATTCATTGACGTGGATTTACATCGAATTCAAATAACATTTCCTGCAGTCTCCTAATTCCTACTACAAACAATCCTGGTACATTTTCAATAATTTTTATTGATCTTATCATAACTATAACCTATAAAAACAAACGCTATAAAGGAAAATATTTACTTCATACAATACGATTATGAGTAAGGATGATCAGAGTATCTGTTCATTACTCAAAGCTATAGATAACTAAAATTATTCAAAACATGTGTTAAATATTAATGGATGGATGAATAATGAAGAAATTATCGATAATGATAATTATTCGCTTCATTTCTTTTTTCCCTGGTTCGCCACACGTGCTATTGCGGCTGCTACTGTCGCTTCATCGGCAAGATAATAGTGTTTGGTTGGCTTCAAGTTCGCATCCAGTTCATAGACTAGTGGAATACCTAGAAAACGCAAAATACATTGAACGCCAGTGCAGTAAACGATATTATTTAACTTCATCAAGAAATAGTACAATTAGGCTAATAAAACTTCCAAGGTTAGCCACCTGCTATACATTACTCAAAGCATTAGCTAATCCACCTTTTCTTCATGAATTTAATGAGTCATGTCAAGTTGAGGAAGCCCAAACCTTTATAAAAACCGGAACTACTCAAGATTTTATACTTCATCAACCAATTTTTCATGCCAACTGCATTTATTGTGCTCTTTATTTATGGTTTTGTCGAACAAGTTATTCAGTATTGGTTTGATATTTTAATGTGCCGTTTTTTGAACCGAGAACGGAAGTATTTGCATAATACAATGACTCGACTGTTTTGTTTTTTCGCTCCAATTACATACAAGTTGACAAGTTTAGTGATTTGAAATCTTACTGTAACTTAGAGTGTAAATGAAGTTAAGAATTAAAGTTTTAACAGAGATCTTATAAACGACAATAGAGACAGTTCTAGAATGTCTCAAACAATTTCATTACGTAATATCACGAGAATATAGAAGGCTAATAAAGACATTTTGGGTATTTTTTTCTCCTACGTGACTACTCGTCTACAGGTTTTAAAATACAAATATGTTATATGCACAATAAATATGCCATTTGATATAAAGGCAACAATTAGTCTTCGTGTTTCACGAATCTAATACGATTAGTTTATAACTAACGAATGCTGATTCTAATTCCCAAACATCGTTTAGTGCTTTAGTATACGAGTTTCCTGATACACTGTAATACAAAGCGAACTACCAGCTGTTTAGTTTACGAAGTCAATAAAAGAGTAGCCTTTGATAAAAAACAGAACCCAGAATATTGTTACAAGTTATTTACACACTGAAACAAACAGGCAACTAGAGTCAAAAGATATTTCAAAATTTTCGGACAGACTCAAGTAAATTTTCAAAAAGAATGAAGATATTTTAAACTATTTATCATGACAACAGCAACTTTTCACAAGTATCATACTTAACATATCGTTGACATTTAATAACCATAATACCAAATATGTTCAAAAATCGAGAAGATACAATAACGGGTCAACTTCTTCGCAAAAACCATTTGATGAGATTACTAGAAAAATTATCAGCAATATATTTATTCATGTCATTCTGGAAAACATAAACATCAAACTAACCAGTGGGTATATTGAGTTCCACAATATCTGAATCAGATGTATTATCCAAGTACTTGATAAGCGCTCTTAAACTGTTTCCATGAGCGACAATAAGAACCTGTTCGCGTCTCTAAATTTATAGAAGGAAGGTAAAAAGAACTACAAACCCAGTCAAATACGGTACAAAATAAATAAGAAATTTGATAATATTAAAAAGTCCTTATTTAGGTAAATGTGTGTTATTGTCAACTGCTTAAAAACGTCTAACCATCTAAACTACTCCGACGAGTAAAATATGGTTGAGTCCAGTTATAATGTTTGAGCTTTATCGGGTGAAAACGTCGTTGATTTCCGCTTTTTGGTACTTTAAATAAAAATGATCAGTTTAATATTTAAATCCTGTTACTAAGCGGATGGATGAGATACAGGCCCGAAACCTCCAGGAAGAGGTTCTTATCACATGAACAATTTTGACAAAGCAAGAACAACAAGCCAGATTTATCAATGGAATAAATTGTGTAAGCCCAAGTCATCGAAAATAAAACTAGTTTCAGAGCTGGATCATTATGACATTTTATTAGTGAAAACTAACTGTAATGCGTCAAGATGTTACATTTGTAGATTACCAGTTGTAGTAGAAACAAGATACAACTCAGTCGTAATAACTAACTAGTGACTAATCAACATAAAAAACTCAAAGAAAGGATGAAACGTTGATCAAACCTCTTTTATGAAGACCTTTAAGTGTTTTAGAATTTTTTTAAGATTAAAATTGAATTTTTTATTGGACTGACGAACACATACTGGATTTAAGTTTATTTTGATGAGTAAGCTGATCTCGAATAATATTAACACATCTGCTAACTTGATACTACACAATCAATGTAGATTAATCTATCAAAAAGATGATTTAAGTGTTTTGGTCACAGAATGAACATTCGATTTTTGAGTGACAAGTAACGCTTAAATACGTTTCCACTAACGAGCACAGCTTCTCTGATTTCCAGATAATACCATTTTACAATACAGCCTTACAGTTTTTAGAATCCCACATTTTAGAAGGCAATCGCTAGATCCTATAATACGAAACTAGACAAATCACAGGAATATCACCGTGACCTAATATTCCAGTTAAATTCGACATAACCTAGTTTCACTATAGTCATCCTGAATTGTTTATAAAAATCTAAGTAATCTTATCTACATTGTATCATACTTAATCGATACCTTTTGAAATACAGATTAATTTATAGTCGATTAAAGCGATTGTTAAACGTTTGAAGAGGTAATGAGTTTCCAGTTTTCAAAGAGAATGATAACATCAGAAAATGTAAAACTGGTGAAACAAAGATTGTGTTTGAAATGTAAAATTTAATATGCTTATACCTTTATACTTGCAGAAATAGTATCAAACCAAAATGGCAGTACACGTTGAACAGTGTCCTTTAAGCACTCAGTATGTGGTATGCAAGAAGAGTCAAGTAACTGAAAACGAAATCAATCATTTAAATAATATCAAGTTTACGTCATGTAAATATGCAGTAAATAACTGAATAACAAAAGCAGAAATAAGCGGCACAAAATGCAGTAGCTAGTATAAAAAAAGTGAGAAATCTCGAATCCCTCTGTTTAAGACTGTAAAGACTTACGTTCTCTCTCAACTTTGATCATAATGAATGAAGTATACAAATGCCAGTATATTTCCAAACATACAGTTGTAATGCTTTTTATAATACAATCATCACTAAAAACAGTGATACAGTGTAGGTTTAAGTTGTGAGGCTTTAAATTACGCTTATATGGAGACTAGATATTAGTATATTAAAGCTCCAAAGACCGGGGCTCCAAAATGAACAGGTGAAATCACTATAATTTAATGCATGGAACTTTGTAATGTAGGTTTATAAAGAAAAGTATCTAATGAAGAAAAACAAAATTGTTGCGAGTCCGAGGATAGAAAATAATACGCCAATACAAACACAACTGATAAAACAAGCAATTGACGTGAGAAAATCCTAGGAGGTCCTAATTATTGAGACAGTTCACGCCGCTTTTTTGGGTAAAGTAAATTAAAACTGATATAACATTATCATGGATTTTGATCAGTGCCTGATAAGATCTGGGAGTTACAGAATCAGATAATTTATACAACTACAGACTTCGTGATTCGCAAACAGAAACTAAACTAAAATACTGTCTTTAATCTGAACAGCTTTATTTAATGGATGCCTTGTTGCCATTTTTACACAGTTTTAACATCCAAAAACCTTGATTGATAAAAGAATGCTGAAAAATAAAAAGTAGGATATATGTTGGAGCAAATTACAACACAATGATGAACTAACTAACTAACTACTACTTAACTATATGGTGTAGTTAGTTCACAAAAGATATATTATTAACTATCGCCTAATACTTCTGCGTTGTTTGCCTGATCTTTTTATTGTATTAACCCAATTGGGTTTAGTGGATATTACACAGAACACAGAACAATAACGATGGGTGAACATTATTGAGGATGTAAATGCTTTAAAACTGGAAGTTACAAGACATGATTATAAGAATAAAAATAGAAAAAGTGGACATAAGTTTAAATGATTATACTAGGGATTCTGTGTCTACCTACTTGACTTACTGTAACAGTCAGTGTCTTTATGGACTACATTTAACACACAAACAGTCAGTCAGTCACAACGTAGAACTTCGTACATACGTACATCAGTTCGAGTTGCCATACCACATTAACACAGATGAAGTTGTCGATTCAAATCCCATTGTGGTAGAAGTAGTAAGAGTATAAGCAGTAATCGGAAAGATTAGGGTTTGAAGATGTTATTCAAGGAGTATAATTCAGTGAAACAAATTTGGAAAGAGAAAAAGGATAGGGACATGTATTCGGAAGATTAGAATTTGGGAGAACACAAAGAGTGAATGCACCTTCGCCATTGCAAACGATTTTGAGCCATATCATTCCAGGTAGTCTACACCTACCAACATGGCTCAGTCCACTTGTCAGCGACTTCATGGATTTGTGCCACGTTTTGGTCTGGCCACCCATAGCTTTCTTCCAACCTACTCCTACACCATGAAACATTGCACGTCGGGGAAGTCGGTGGTTAGGCATACGTAACACGTGTCCCGGCCATCTCAACTGATGAAGTTTCAGTACTTCACCAATCGATTTGCCATCCTTACCTAGTACCCGTTTCCTGACAACTGCATTACTTACCCAGTGGTCTCGGGATATACGAGCAAGGCTTCGAAGACACCTATGATCGAACACTAGTAGCCTACGAATATCTTCTACTCTTATCGGCCATGTTTCACTGCCATAAAGTAGGACGGAACGAACTGCTGCACAGTAAACCCGTCCTTTGGTTGCTAGACGTATATCTCGCCTACGCCATAAATTACGCAAGTTGGCGAAGGCTAGACGAGCCTTCTACATCCGTGTTGAGATTTTGTCACAAACCAGACCACAAGGGCTGATGAGACTCTCAAGATAAGTGAAGCGGTCAACACGCTCAACTACTTCACTCAGTATCATTAGTGAGGGTGTCGATGCAACCCAATCCTGAAGTAACATTTTGCACTTAGAGGGAGAGAATCGCATCCTGAACATGCCTGCATAGTTGCTTGTAGTGGTCAGAAGACTCTGCATTTTGTCAGCGTCTTCACCGAACAAAACTATGTCGTCGGAGTATTCTAAGTCAACACACAAACATTGGTACGCGGAGGCACAAAATATATATGCGCCACATAAATCATTTGATTTTTGTGAGGGCTGGAATATTACTTGGGTACCCAAACCGAAGCAGATAGTTTTCTTAGGAGAACACTTCCCGAGCCTTTGACCTAGAGGTCTAATCTACAAGGCAGTGGAGCACCATTAGGATATGCACTCCTATGGTAGCCGGTGACCAACAATAAGTTCATACGCTATTTGTTTCTTCAGGATCCTGGAGCCCATGTGCACCAGTCCGGTCAAAGCGCCGGACATTCACTTTTCGCCCTCTCAATTTAGCAAACAACACCCCTGCGCGAGGAGTCAGTGAGTAGGACTTCCCTGGCGGTGGTTGTATGCACGTGGCTATGTGAGAGCATTTCGAGAGAGAGAGAGAGAGAGACAGAGCAGACTCTCCTCACCCTCGAACGCATCAGGGCATTTAAGGGCCCTACACCAGCCATTACTGAGCGTCGAGGTAGCTGGTGGATGAGGATACACAATACATGTCTTGACCATCTCAGTCAATAAAGATTATTTATTTGAACACAAACATTAGTACAAGGGAGCACCAAATACATATGCGCCATACAATAACAATGAGGCCAGTAGTAGTTATCACTGATTTATGTGAAGGCTGTGATACTGTCTCACAAATCGATTTGCCTTACTTACTTATTACTGTCTAACCATTGCGTTGCTAAGACGATGGTTTCATAATATATGAGCAATGGTTTGAAGACATCTATAATGGGATACTAGTAATTTACGAATATCCGCTATTTATAAAGAATGTCATAAAGAAGAACAGAGCCAAATGATGACCAGTTCTTTTATTCCATCATATCTAGACACCAAAATAAAGATAAGTGTGTAAAATCTTGTGATTTCTGGCAGTAAAAATAATCCGGGATTTTAAAGGGAAAATCATATACTCCAACTTGCTATTTTTAGCTTGTAGTTGTCGATTTTTCGCTTACAAATAAAATGCGTGGAGATTTGTCACTAAGAGTCTAACGATGTCCTTTGCAGATAATTATTAATGTCGGAACGGCTTTGAGATGCGTGACAAAGCCACTAGAGGCTCTACTGGAGCCGAAGAGATTCCATCTAATCAGAACCTGATAGAAAATTTCAGAATACCTGCGTGGCGTGCTACGATTGAACAATAGCACAAATTGCTTTTTGAGGATTGGCCGAACTGTAAGGATGTTATAGCCAATACAAATAACCACAATTACCCATGTTTTTCTGTACATTTTTTTATTCTTACCCAACAGTCTCTTCCCCTGCTTCTTCCATTTTTCGATTTGCGACTGTGGGATTCTACACGTTCTAGTGCCGTTAGTTGTATATCGTATTCTGCCGTAATCAAGTACAAAATGTAACAGTTCATTGACGATATAAGATATGTGTATGCTTATTTTAAATAAGAATGATAAGGCTCCGGAATGCTTTTAAGGTTAAAGCAGGAAGCATTCTTTTCGCCGCACATTAAGATACAGATAACATGAGAATACGTGCACTACATGAAAAGACTAAGAATTTGAATGAATTTGGTTTCAAGACATAATGGTAAACCACAGTAGTTTTAAATCAAATGACACTTTGCAAAAGGAGTATCGCATGCGTGTGTTTGGAAAGTCTAAACAAGGGGTCTTAATGTTTGTCTGTGTATGCCACAATCCAATGGGTTTTGTTTAGTTGAAGTATGTGATTGAAAAGTATAGAAAATGTTCCTAGTTCATCAGTTAAGCGATCACCTTATTTTTATTTATTTAAGCATGTTACTCCCAATGAATCATAGGCCTCTGACCAGTATTCTCCAACCCACTCTGTCCTGAGCCTTCTTTTCTAGTTCTATCCAGTTCTTGTTCATTCTTCTCAGGTCTGTCTCTATTTCTCGGCGTAATGTGTTCTTTGGTCTTCCTCTTCTCCTTTGACCTTCGGGATTACATGTGAGGGCTTGTCTTGTGACGCAATTAGGTGATTTCCTAAAAGTGTGCCCAATCCACTTCCAGTGCTTCTTCCTGATTTCTTCCTCTGCTGGAATCTGATTTATTGTCTCCCACAGTAACTTGTTGCTGATAGTGTCTGGTCAACGGATCCGAAGTATCTTGTGTAGACAACTGTTAATAAACACTTGTATCTTCTGGATAATGGCTTTCGTCGTTCTCCACGTCTCCGCCCTATACAGTAGAACTGTCTTGACATTTGTATTGAAAATTCTAACCTTGGTGTTGGTTGACAATTGTTTTGAGTTCCAGATGTTCTTCAGTTGCAGATATGCTGCTCTTGCTTTGCCGATCCGCGCCCACACATCTGCATCTGATCCACCGTGTTCATCAATGATGCTGCCCAGATATGTAAAGGTTTCCACATCCTCCAAAGCTTCTCCGTCAAGTGTAATTTGATTGGTGCATATTGTATTGTATCGGAGAGTCTTCCTTTTTCCTTGTTTATATTGAGACCTACTGCTGCTACATTGTTCGTTTTCTCCTGCATTTGTTGTTGCGTTTGTGTTAGAAGAGCCAGATCATCTGCGAAGTCTAAATCGTCAAGCTGCATCCTGCCTGTCCACTGTATCCCGTGCTTTCCTCCAGATGTTGACGTCTTCATGATCCAGTCGATCACCAGGAGAAAGACAAACGGTGAGAGTAAGCAACCTTGCCTAACACCAGTCTTTACTTCAAACGAGTCGGTGAGTTGTCCTCCATGGACGATGTGGCAGTTTAGTCCATCATAGGAGTTCCGTATGATATTGACTATTTTCTCAGGCACGCCGTAGTGTCGAAGATGCCTCCATAGTGTCGTCCTGTCCACGCTATCAAATGCTTTCTCGTAGTCAATGAAGTTGATGAAGAGTGATGAATTCCATTCAATGATACGTAGAGTTGCGATTTGATCTGTGCACGATCTATGCTTACGAAATCCACCCTGTTGATCTCGAAGTTGGGCGTCTACGAAGTCCTTCATCCTGTTCAATAATACCCTGTTGAAGACTTTTCCTGGTGTTGAGAGAAGAGTGATGCCTCTATAGTTAACACTTGCTGAGATGGCCTTTCTTTGGTATCTTGATCAGGAGTCCTTTTTTCCAGTCTATTGGTACTTGTTCTTCGTCCCAAATCTTACTGAAGAGGATGTGGAGTATCTTGGCAGTTGCTGCTACATCTGCTTTCAGTGCCTCTGCCGGGATGTTGTCTGGTCCCGCTGCTTTGCCGCTCTTGATTTGTCTAATGGCCATGCTGATCTCTTCAATTGTTGGTGGGCCAACATCGATCGGGAGGTCTGTGGGTGCTGCTTCGATGTTGGGTGGGTTCAGTGGAGCTGGTCGATTCAAGAGTTCTTTGAAGTGTTCTACCCACCTGTTTCGTTGTTCTTCAATGTCGGTGATTACTTTGCCTTCCTTGCTTTTCACTGGTCTTTCTGGCTTACGGTAATTTCCAGCAAGTTTCTTTGTTGTATCATACAGTTGTCTCATGTTTCCCTCTCTTGCAGCCTTTTCCGCTGTCATCGCTAAATTTTCCACATATTTACGTTTGTCGGTTCTGATGCTCCTCTTCACTTGCTTGTTTGCCTCTGTGTATTCGGCTTGTGCCTTGGCTTTTTCTGCTCTGGTTCGGCTGATATTGACTGCTGCCTTCTTGTTCCTCCTTGCTTCAATTTTATCCAGTGTACCAACAGTGATCCATTCCTTGTGATGGTGCTTCTTTTGGCCCAGAACCTCCTGACACGTTGAAACGATTGCCTCCTTGATACCTTTCCAGTTGCTCTCCATGGTAGTTCCCTCTCCATTGAGTAGATCATGAAACGCCTCGAACCTGTTGCTGAGGGCTATGTTGAATTTGTTGAGTTTGTCAGCATCTCGAAGAAAGGCCGTATTAAACTTTTGTGATGTTGTCCGCGCCGTTGTCCAGTGCTTCTTGAGTTTTAGTTTGATCTTGGCGACCAGCAAATGATGATCGGATGCTATATCAGCTCCTCTTCTGGTTCTCACATCCTCCATCGTCCTCCTGAACTTTTTGTTGATGCAGATATGGTCGATTTGATTCTGTGTAGTGTGATCCGGTGAAATCCAAGTGACTTTGTGTATGTTTTTGTGTGGGAATATGGTGCCACCTATGACCAGTTTATTGAAGGCACACAGGTTTGCAAATCTCTCACCATTTTCGTTCCTTTCTCCCAGTCCATGTCGTCCCATGACGTCTTCGTATCCAGTGTTGTCCTTTCCAACCTTGGCATTGAGATCTCCCATCAGAATTATCAGGTCCTTGTTTGGGCACTTTTCGAAGATCGACTGCAGGCTATCGTAGAATTGGTCTTTAGCGTCTTCATCGTAGTCGTTGATAGGCGCATAGCATTGGATGACGTTCATTGTAATGCCCTCTCTCTTTGTTTTGAAGGAGGCTTTGTTGATCCTTGGTCCATGAGATTCCCATCCAATAAGTGCATTTTGTGCTTTTCTGGACAGCATTAATGCCACTCCTTGTGTATGTGGGGCATTTTCTTCCTCATGACCGGAGTATAACAGAATTTTCCCTGAAGATAGTCGTTGTTGTCCAATCTGCGTCCAATGTGTTTCACTGATTCCAAGCACCTCCAGGTTGTATTTTCCCATTTCTGCAGCAATTTGGAAGACTCTTCCGGTTTCCCACATTGTCAGGACATTCCATGTACCTATAAAAATTGTCGCTCTGGTTGTAAGAAGGTGCATCAGCCTCATGACTTCCGAAGGAACTCGGCTTTTATCATGAGACGTCATAATTATTCCTTCTACTCCCAGGGCAGAGTTTAAATGGTTTGAATATTTTTTTCGGGTTAGCGTTTTTTTAGCGAGTTGGTTTTCTACGGGATGGGGTCGTTAACCCCATGCCCAACCCTCCTCTTTTACCCAGGCTTGGGATCGGCAGTAACCCCGGAGGAGGAGCTACAGGCGGAGTTTAAGCGATCACCAGTAAAATTAAATTCTTAAATGCTGAGCTTTGTTTATCACGCACATATATCAAGTATGTTATGATCGTACAAACTGTGATTAACATTTATGAGCTTCAAAAATTACTGTTAAGTATATCATATATATTCGCAGAAAGGACACAAAATGGTATTTTAAGTAAGAACTTCTCTGATCGAACTTCTAATAGGTAAATTTAATGTTCATGCTACATGAACTAGCTCCGCCTGTAGCTCCTCCGGTGGCTACTGTCGGTCCCAAGCCCAGGTAAAGGAGGAGGGTTGGGTATGGGGTTAGCGACCCCATCCCGTAGAAAACCGACTCGCTAAAAAACGCTAACCAGAAAAAATTTCTGGTCGGCGGCCTATGCTTCATTGGGAGTAACAGGCGTAAGTAAGTAAGTAAGCTACATGAAAGGTTTAAAGCTAGTAACTAGGTTTCAATATTGTATTGAAATCTTTTGAATATTTAGGACTTGAGATTAATGTGTGAACAGAATCTGAAATGTGCGGTCGACAGTACGTCCATACTTAAATGAGGTCATTTCTAAGTCTTCGTTAGCTCCATTATTTTACGAAGGATTTGAAAAACAGTTACTACATAAACAGATCCTTATGAATCAGGATAAAACCAGAAATATGATTTCCATAACCAAGTGTAGCAACCGCACCCCCAAATGTCCTAGTACGGCCGAGAGTGGGGAGAGTCTGTTCTCCCTCTCGAAATGCTCTCACATGGCCACGCGAATATATAGCCTCTGTCAGGGAAGTCCTACTCACTGCCTTCTCGTGGCGGGGGTGTTGCTTACGAAAGTGAGAGGACGAAAAGCGAATGTCCGGCGCTATAACCGGGTCGGTGGACAAGGCGAGTCCACATAGGGGAGTTGGAAAACCCTGATTCCAAACCAATGGTGCACATGAGCTCCAGTATCCTGATGAAACGAATGGCGAATGAACCTGTTGTTGGTCAACGGCTACTACGGGACTGCATCTCCTTACTATGCACCACTGCCTTGTGGATTAGACCTCTAGGTCAAAGGCTCGGGGTGTGGCCCCCTAAGAAAACCACCTGCTTCGGTTTGGGCACCCGGGCAGTATCACAGCCCTCACAAAAATCGAATGAGATTTGTGAGGCGCATATTTATCTGGTGCTTCCGTGTACCAATATTTATGTGTTTAAATAAATAAAAATAACTTCAGTCAATATCTTTAATAGAAATACTTACGGCATACTTTGGTTCATTACCGGGGAAGCGAGGATCTGAAATGTCAACAGGAGGGGGAGGTATATCATAAGCACGTCTCCATATTTTAACTTGTTCCTCTCCATGTTTGGCAGCAGTTTCAGACTTATTCAGACCTTGAAGAGCACCGTACATTCTTTCATTTAGACGCCATGTTCTGTAGTAAATGGAAAACACATGATGTCAGTGTTTTAAAATAAAACTTGTCGAGTGTACTTTGGTTTATTCTGGAGGTAAGCTTACATGAAATTAAAACAAGAAACTTTGTGTTCAGTGGAATAGTGGGTAAAAATGAACCAGGAGACCGGAGTGACCTCCGCTATAATGACAGGATGAAAAGGTAACGCAATTTTAGGTCAAAATCTTTTGTTAATTCATTCTATTTATTAGTCTAGGTAGACTACATTCAGTGTTTCTACAAAAACAGTTCATTTGTCCTTATGTAGGAATTTATTTATTCACATATATATTGGTACAAAGGGCACCGGATACATATGCGCCACACAAAATAATGAGAATGGGAGAAGGAAGAAGATGCGTATATATAAAAGAAGGAAAAAAAGAAAAGGAGAAGAGTAATGATGGGGGAACTGAATGTACAACCAGAAGAGCTCTCTCAGTTAGGAAAGTTATAGCCACCCTTTATGAAGAAAGTAGGAGAAGGTTACAGCAGGATCGCCACTGGCTTCTATTCTGAGCCATATCTGATAACGTCTCTAGCCACTGTGTTGCACCATCTCTCGGACAACAGCCAGGGAGTCGTGAAGGACTAACAAAAGCTAGCCCTTTGCAGCTCTCTTTCATGCCACGACACCATGTCATACACTGACCTCCTCTCCGCTTTCTCCAACCAGTCCCAGGGTCGGCGAATAATGCACGACGTGGAAGTCTCTGGGACGACATTCGTAAAACATGTCCAAGCCACCGAAGTCGGTGTTACAAGATGGTGACACCAATTGAATTATCGTCTCTGCGCCCCAACACACGATGCCGAACCTCTGAATTACTAACATGGTGTTGCCACTGGATGTCAGCAATCCTTCGGAGGCAACGATGATCGAACACAGAGAGACGTCTAACATCCTCAACTCGGAGAGGCCAGGTTTCACAAGTATAGAGCAAAACTGCTCTCACCGACGCGTTGTAGATCCGACCTTTTACAGCCAGACTAACATCACGAAGGCGCCAAAGATGGCCCAGATTGGCATAAGCCGCTCTGGCTTTCATTATACGTGCATCAATTTCATCACTCACGCCACCACCAGCATTCATATAGCTACCTAGATACACGAACTTCTCAACTACTTCAGTCTGCTCACCATCCAGGGTGAGTACAGGATGAGAATCCTGCCAGTCTTGTAAAAGTACCTTGCACTTGGAGGGTGCAAAGCACATACCGTACCTGCGGACACTGACTGACAACTGATTAAGTGCGGATTGCATGCCTTGGGCATTATCGCACAGTAAGACAATATCATCCGCATACTCGAGGTCAAGAAGTCGTTCTCCAGGCAACATATCCACACCGCCATTACTTACATCCATCAGAGCTGTTTCCAGGATGTCGTCGATGGCAAAGTTGAAGAGGAATGGTGAGATTGGGCAACCCTGCCTAACCCCACTGCTCGAATGGAACAAGGGAGAAAGGTGGTTGTATGCCCTCATTCTGCCTGAGGTGTTCGTATACAGGGCCTTTAAGATGTTAATGAACTTCTCAGGCACACCCTTCTTCAATAGACAATCCCAGAGAACAGTCCCGTCCAACAAATCGAAGGCAGCCTTGATATCAAGAAACACTACGATTGTTGGCCTGCGATAAGTATGACGGTGTTCTAACATTTGGCAGAGGGTGAAGATATGATCAATGCATCCTCGACTAGAACGAAAACCAGCCTGCTCCTCGCGAGTCAATCGTTCTCGGGTTTTAAACAACCTACGAAGAATGATAGAAGCCAATAGTTTGGACGCAATCGGAAGAAGACTTATCCCCCGATAGTTATCACAGGAAAAACGTGAACCCTTTTTAAAGATAGGGACGACTATCGACTCATTCCAAGATGTTGGAACACTTTCTTGCTCCCAAACCTTTCCAAACAACGCAGTCAGTTCCTTAGCCAGAAAGTCACCACCATCTTTAAAAAGAGCCGGAGGTAAGTCATCTGGGCCCGGTGGTTTGTAACGTTTTAAGAGTTGGAGTTCCTTGCGGACTTCCGCCTCGTTTGGTGGATCAGTCGTCACCGGCCATGGGGGGCAGGACAACCTGGTTGATGTTGCCGGAGCAGCAGGCCAGTTGAACTGCCCTTCGAAAAATTCAGCCCATCGTCCAAGACGTCGAGAGATGTTAGTGATTGGCATCCCGTCATCCTCGTAGATTATTTCACTCACACCAGACTTCTTGCTGCCAGTGGCTCGGATGAGTTGGAAGAGCTTCCGGCAGTTACCAGATGCAGCTGCTGCTTCCATCTCATTAGCACGCTCCGACCACCAGGCTTCTCGGTCCTTAAGCAAGCTTTGCCTAATTTCATTACGTAACAGCCTTCGTTTGTGGTCAAACTCACGGTCACCCGGAGTAGACCGACGGGCTTCCATCAGTTGTAAGGAGCCAGAAGAAACCCAGTGCTTGTAAGCGGGACGTTTCGCGAAGCCACAAGCGGCTTTACTCGCCATTTTCATGGCGTCGTGAAGATGCAACCAATGCTCATCTATACTTTTCGGTGAGATGGTAGCTAGCCTAGAGGCAAGCTCCGCTTTATACTTACTTGCAACAGATGTTGCAGCCAGTTTACTAACATCGATCATGGTCAACCCTTCGGCCACTGAAAAGTAAGATGAGATTGGCGTAGACCAGGGCATGATCAGACTCCAGATAGGTACTCCAAAAGGAGCGGCAGTCTTGTACACAACCACGCCAGCGGTAGCTGATAGCGATGTGATCAATCTGAGTCCAGGCTTGGGATGCAGAGGGAGGACGCCAGGTGGCACACCGGCGATGACTGTGCCGGAAGTTAGTGCTGGCCAGAAACAGGTTGTGGTCTGTGCACAGTTGCAGCAAACGGTCCCCGTTATCTGTCCGGCGACCAACAAATCCCCATCGGCAACCTAAACGACTCTCTTCTGTGCCTAGACGCCCGACCTGTGCATTCAAGTCTCCGGCTAATACTACATTATCTGTCGAACGCGCTTTCTGGAGAAGAACTGTTAACTGATGGTAAAACTCATCCTTGATTGCATCCGGGCTGCAATCTGTCGGGGCATAGGCGGAGATGACGAAAAGACACCGTCTCTCACGCCGATTTCTTCTCACTTTGATGGAACTTTCTAATCTAACAGCACATAACCGTCTGTTAATGGGGATCCAGTCGATTAGTGCTGCCTCAGCTCTAGCGCTTAGTACGACAACAACGCCAGCAAGACCAGACGAAGATGCCACAGAGTCTCCGGATAAGCTTTTCGAAGCGACAGATGGAGAGCGAATTTATAGTACTTCACTAGAGTCTTGAATACGGGTCTCGGATAGACAGCAAACATCAACATTAAGACTTTCTAAAGAAATAGCCAGCCCCATCTGTTGTCCGATCTGCATTAGTGTGCGAACGTTGAAGGAAGCCAGCTTGAACGGCGTACGTGGTTTCAGAAAGACTGCTTCAGTATTCATAATCGGTGGAAGCATTCACTTTCAACCAGACAGTGACTGGAGATTGTTTAGATAGGACAGATTTTCCACCATGGGCGAGCTGCTGCATAAGATGAAAAGTAAGGTTAAACAAATTGGGGATAAAAGGGTGTGAATTAGCGATATGGTAAATAATAATAATAATGATAGTAATAATGTAAATTGAATTGTTTCTTGTATGAACGAGAATATAATTGTCAGCTGAATGTTCCATTTCATTTATTTGCGAGAGGGCTGTGATACTGCCCGGGTGCCCAAAACGAAGCAGGTGGTTTTCTAAGGGGGCCACACCCCGAGCCTTTGACCAAGAGGTTTAATCCACAAGGCAGTAGAGCATAGTAAGGAGATGCAGTCCCATAGTAGCCGTTGACCAACAACAGGTTCATTCGCCATTCGTTTCATCAGGATACTGGAGCTCATGTGCACCATTGGTTTGGAATCAGGGTTTTCCAACTCCCCTATGTGGACTCGCCTTGTCCACCGACCCGGTTATAGCGCCGGACATTCGCTTTTCGTCCTCTCACTTTCGTAAGCAACACCCCCGCCACGAGAAGGCAGTGAGTAGGACTTCCCTGACAGAGGCTATATATTCGCGTGGCCATGTGAGAGCATTTCGAGAGGGAGAACAGACTCTCCCCACTCTCGGCCGTACCAGGGCATTTGGGGGCCCTTATGTAGGAATATTAGGTATACGTAAATACTACTATATAAATGTGCACTTCAGACTAATGATGACATGTTTTAATATGTATTTGAAGTCGGCAAATCTATATTAGTCCGTTTTTCGTATTATTTCGAGTCACAGGAATAACAGTGGTTCAGCATTGCTGAGTATACGCCCCCAAATACCCTGATACGGCCGAGGGTGAGGAGAGTCTGCTCTCTCTCTCTCGAAATGCTCTCACATAGCCACGTGCATACAACCACCGCCAGGGAAGTCCTACTCACTGACTCCTCGCGCAGGGGTGTTGTTTGCTAAATTGAGAGGGCGAAAAGTGAATGTCCGGCGCTTTGACCGGACTGGTGCACATGGGCTCCAGGATCCTGAAGAAACAAATAGCGTATGAACTTATTGTTGGTCACCGGCTACCATAGGAGTGCATATCCTAATGGTGCTCCACTGCCTTGTAGATTAGACCTCTAGGTCAAAGGCTCGGGAAGTGTTCTCCTAAGAAAACTATCTGCTTCGGTTTGGGCACCCAAGTAATATTCCAGCCCTCACAAAAATCAAATGATTTATGTGACGTGTAAAGTGTTATCGATAAACGAACACACCGATGATGAAGTGGAACGCTCAACACCACATAAACTTTCTTTGACCTTGTACGACTATGTCTTGTTTATCCACCAATCACAATTTTATGTTCATTTTAAAACAATATTCGCCTTGTTGACTCATTTTTCTTATCTACAAGTTACCGTTCGAAACAGATAAAGTTTATTGGGCCAAATAACTTGTTTTGACTTTGGCGAAACCAAGACTCTGGGCTCGACAGTCTAAAGAATAACTTAGAGTTGCACCTGTAGGAAATTGCTTCCTACATGGAGCATATATATTTGGTGCCTCCATGTACCAATGTTTGTGTCTAAATAAACACGCAGCAGGACGGGGGATATACTAATAATGATACGGACGGAACACTCGGTGAGTGAAAATTGACCGGAGAATTAGGAAGCGACCGATAACGAGGATGACCAGATTATAAGTTTGAGTAGCATGCTGTTAGCTAATCGATATTTATGAGAATTAAATATTGAGTATCAATCAGAAGTCATTTGTAACATAGTTGTGCTCTTAAAAGCTCTATAACAAACAACATAAGATGGTCTTTTGCAGGTTATAAGAAAATGATATTCTAGCATACTATTTATTTGACTAACACATAAATGTGAAAGTATTTGGAATCTAACAAGAACGACTGCATACATTTGAAAGCAAAACTCAGTAAGTCTTACAAACTGATGTCATATCGATGTCTAAAACCTCAATCTTTTCAGAATAACTATTACAATAATCGAACTGTTACTTCTGCTTAGTATTCTACGTCAAACTCTAGAATTAGTCTCTCGTTCTTTTCGCTATGTTTGACGAGCGCAAAACGAAACCTGTGACCGAGAAATGTTTTATTACTGCTAGTAAGAATCTAAAGTTAATCAGTCCCGAAATGATGGGATACTACTAAATTACATTAATTTCGGTTGTGGGAACTACTTGATTTAGAGTCTTAATTACTTTAATTGTCAACTAAGTGTTGATATCTTACTAACTCCCTTATTTTAATCTGAAAGTAGTCGCAGGAGAGACAATGATGTGTATTATATCTCACAAACCCCACCAAGTATTTTTTTTTCCTGTCTTGCCGTAATGAGGGAATATAATGCTTACGTTGGAAAGAACCGAATATGGATAAGTGGGTAAATGAAATCCATAATTTCTGGACGTAACTGTTCGCTGGTTTCTAGTGGATTTTAGCTATGAAATGTGCAATTATTTTAGATATTTATCCCGTGACTCAACAGGATGGCTGACAATATCATTAACTCGTATTTGAAAATTTTGAAGAGGTGGATGAAAATCAAATGCATATGAAATACATGAAAACAACATGAAATACGAAAAGCCAGAATAACGTACTTCGTCACAGGTATCCAGTTAAGATCAAGTTCATCAAGGACAAAGTTTAAAGTCTTGATGGCTCTTTTTAGAACGCTTGTATAGGCAATATCAAAGGTGAAGTGATTTTGGCGTAGAAGTTGGCCAGCTTGTTTAGCCTCAGTGATACCTTGTCCTGAAAGATCTGCATCATGCCAACCACAAAAGCGATTTTCTTCATTGTAAACACTCTCTCCATGGCGAATAAACACAATTCTGTAAGGAGCCATGCCACGATATACCTGAAAAGTTTAGTACAGTACATTAGTACGCCATATTTTTTACTAACGTCGGGAAGTTATATACCTGACAACCGAAAATCAGGCTGCAAAACGAAAGGTTGCTTTTGAATAGTTGGAGACAGCTTCCAGGCAAATGAAAAAATATCGCCCTAAGGGATGCTACAGTAGGTGTTCGTATTCATATAAATGTTCAGAAGCATCCTAGCCCTGGGTAAGATTTTGGGGGAATCCCGAAGCATAGGTAAATTTGAGTGTTTCTTCGTTGAATTTTTCCAAAATTCACTAGTTAAGATTAATGAGATTACAAAAACTGATCAATTATGTCCAAAAATAGATAGGTCTGTTTGTCATGGTCTATAACTTTACTTCAATATTTACCACTCTGGTAATGTCAGCATAACCATGAAATAGCCATACTGTCCGCAGGCTACTAAAACCAAAGTTGAGAGTCCTATTCCATTTTATATCAAATGGAGTATTAAAGTTACAAATATTACACTTTAAATAAAGACAGAATAAATATTGATGCATCAATATCTATTGCACTTTAGATTTCAAAAGAGTCGTGAAAGTACAACAAAGTGCATGAAGGGTACAAGAAAACGAATCGGTGTACTACAAGTGGATTAAACCCAATAGACTCAATGCACACAACCAACCGAAAACCAAATCACGTACACCAGTCAAGAATAGTCAAAACCCACTGCTTGTTAGTACAAGTTGTTTGATTAGTCTAAACAAAATCGCATCATTTATTACACATACTTGTAACTGGGAGCTACAAAAAGTTCAACCTATTTTATATAACGCTTTAATCTTATAAGAACGCCAATGAAGCTATTTGCCGAAGTTTATAATGGCAAGCAACCCTGTTTAATCGTCACACATTGCGGATTTAGCGAAATGTTTCAGTTTCAGTTTGTTTCTTTGAATTTGTATTCACATTATGTAGGACTGATCTTGGTTACCAACATACACAACTCTGAGTACACATGCCCTCTGGAGATTTAAAGGAAAAATAAGTTACATCATAATATAACTGACCGAGTACTGGTACATATAAAATCACCCCCCTCAGTACGTACGAGATTGAAGTTAATGTAGGGTTTTTTTTATCGAACGATTGACATTGAGGTTTCCTTTGCTAGAGAATCATTTAAGGATGTCCATAACTTATTAATTCGGACATCGAAAAAGTCTGCACGGGTTTGGCCTCAAACTATTTCCTCTAGCAGAGATGGATAGTGGCTAGCAGTGGAATCCAGGACGCGCGTTTCGTCCTATTTGGGACTCGTCAGCTGGATGTACCTGCATCTCAGAGTTGATGTTCACTCTGGGACTCGAACCCAGTACCCTCGCTTCAAACGCCATCGCGTTATCCACTCGGCCACTGAGTCCTGATAGCCACTTGCTTGTGCGATGGGGTGAAGTTTGAATTCACTTAGTATTGTTTGTTTGGATCTTCACATCGATGTGTTTAGGACTGCAACTGGTCAGTCTCTAATTGGCATATGTGCATACTGTGCGTATTGCCTCGATATACCTTAATTCACAAGCATGGTAAGCAGAGATGGATAGTGGCTAGCAGTGGAATCCAGGACGCGCGTTTCGTCCTATTTGGGACTCGTCAGCTGGATGTACCTGCATCTCAGAGTTGATGTTCACTCTGGGACTCGAACCCAGTACCCTCGCTTCAAACGCCATCGCGTTATCCACTCGGCCACTGAGTCCTGATAGCCACAGAGTGAACATCAACTCTGAGATGCAGGTACATCCAGCTGACGAGTCCCAAATAGGACGAAACGCGCGTCCTGGATTCCACTGCTAGCCACTATCCATCTCTGCTTACCATGCTTGTGAATTAAGGTATATCGAGGCAATACGCACAGTATGCACATATGCCAATTAGAGACTGACCAGTTGCAGTCCTAAACACATCGATGGGAAGATCCAAACAAACAATACTAAGTTATTTCCTCTAGCATTTAAAGTTGATTTTGTAGCTGTAAATAATTCCCCAAAATCAATAGTTCATTAAGTGTTCGACATTGGATGCTGACCATGTTGTTTAAGTAGACTTGTTTAGCTGAAGGCTTTCGGTCATGCATCCGCACCAGATCACGTTTCAACACGGCGTGGGACAGAGCTCCTACGTTTCATTAGCCAGCTTATAGAAAAGGTCCTCGATATATTGGTAACGAATCAAATATATCTTTTCTGCCTCTTCTCGTCTGACTTCTGATTTCTATCTGACTGGGAACGATCAAATATAGAAGGTGCTACTGGTAGCTAGTTGTAAAACTAGAATATCCGTGGTATCCTCATTGGGTGAACCTGACGTGATCTAGTGCACCAAGTCAATATACTGTGAGTCTGTTCCTTTTTGGAATATTATTATTCATTGTTATTCTTTATTTGAATTTTATATATTGTGATATACTTTTTTCGCGAATTTTTTTTCCGGATATATTTTAATTAGAGATTTTTCGTTATCTATATTACTATGACGGAACACTCTCCTAAGGTTCTTAAGTTTAAGTCTATTCCCCCTATTTCGATTCAGTTAACGCCATTTTGGCCCGACAATATCGAGTCCTGGTTCTGCTATGCAGAAGCCGATTTTTGCATGCACGGAATCACGGACTCGCGCACACGTTTCCTCGCGGTAGTTAAGGCGTTACCGCGCGAGTTTAACAGGTACGTAACACCTAGTATGTTTACTAGTGATGTTCCCGAACCTTACGAAACGCTTAAGCTATCGATTTTAAAACGAGGAGACCTAACTGATCGACAACGGTTAGACCAACTCCTTAACAATATCGACCTGCAACATGGTTCTGCGACGGACATGTTGCTTAGAATGAGAGAAGTCATTGGCCAACGAACTTTCGGTGATGGCCTATTCAGACAACTTTTCTTGTCTAAACTCCCTCAACAGGTGCAGGCAGTGCTCGTTTCATTTCAAAACAATGCCATAGATGAACTAGCTGCATCTGCCGATCGAATCTTGGAAATCACTAGATCTTCTAAGGCCGAGGTTTTTTCCGTCAAAGAAAAACCCCAATCGACCTCGACTGACATGGCCGAACTATGTCACACGCTTACAAGATATCTTAAAGTTCGTAATGACCGTAGTCGGTCAAAAAACCCGCGTAGAAGCGTTTCACGTAAGCGATCTGGCTCTCGACCACGAGAGGCAGACAATCCCGACTGGTGCTGGTATCACAACCAGTACGGTAAGTTTTCCAGAAGTTGCAGGAAACCTTGTAATTATCCGACTTCAAAATCGACTGACACGAATAAGATTTCGGGAAACTTCCCAGCCGGCACGCGTTAACGGCAACCGTAGCCGGCGAACACAGCCGCCTCTTATATGTCACGGATGTGACTACGAAAGTTCGCTACCTCGTCGACACTGGCGCAGAAGTTAGCGTTCTTCCAGCAAATCTCGACGACAGACTTCGCGAGTCTGTTTTAATTTTACAGGTGGCAAACGGAAAGCCGATCGCTACTTACGGTAAAAGGTACGTCTACCTTAACGTGGGTTTACGCAAACCCATACAGCGAATTTTCTTGGTTGCAGATGTCTCTATGCCAATCATTGGTAAAGACCTGTTACAACACCACAATCTACTCATCGACACACGCTCACGAAAGTTAATAGACGGAAACACTAAGTTATCTGTTAGCGTAACTCCTTGTTCTGGTTGCAGGTTATCCCCAGTCACGATTAAGCACACCATAGACCCCTTGTACCAATCAGTACTCAACAAATACCCCGGGATATACCAATCGCAATCGAAATTGCCTTGTGTAACCAGCAATGTTACACATCACATCTCGACTACAGGACCACCTGTATTTTCGAAAGCTCGAAGACTCGCTCCCGAGAAGCTTAGGTTAGCTAAAAACGAATTCGACCATATGATGGACCTAGGGATAATTCGATCATCGAATAGTCCATGGGCATCCCCATTGCACATGGTCCCTAAAAAGGACAGCAATGGTTGGCGGCCAACTGGTGATTATCGGCGTCTGAATGCTCAAACCATTCCCGATCGTTACCCGCTGCCTCATATTCACGATTTGACAGCTACCTTGAAAGGTACAACTGTCTTTTCGAAAATCGACTTGGTTAAAGCTTATAACCAAATACCGATGGCACCTGGCGACATTCCTAAAACCGCCACCATCACTCCCTTCGGTCTTTACGAATTTCTACGAATGCCTTTTGGTTTAAGAAACGCGGCTCAAACCTTCCAAAGGTTTATAGACGACGTCTTCCGAGGTCTCAACTTCGTACATGCGTATGTTGATGACTGTCTAATAGCAAGTCCGGGCAAAGAATCGCATCTCAAGCATCTGGACATTGTTTTCGATCGACTCCAAAGGCATGGCATTACTGTCAACATACAGAAATGCCAAATCGGAACAAACTCCTTAGACTTCCTAGGACACACCATTGATGCCCAAGGCATCCGACCCCTTAGGAGCAAAGTGGCGGCCATTCTGGATTACCCAGAACCGACCACGATCAAGCACTTACGAACTTTTAACGGACTCGTAAGTTTCTATAGACGGTTCATACCTAAATGCGCATCCCTAATGAAACCGTTAACCGATCAGCTTCGTGGAAATGCGAAATCAATTAGTTTAGACGACATAGGCCGTAAAGCATTCTCCACAGTTAAGGAACACATCGCTAAAGCAACCCTGCTTGCGCGTCAGGACACTCAAGCGCGCATTAGTATCGCAGTAGACGCATCCGACTCAGCAATCGGAGCAGTCTTACAACAATAGGTTAACAACTCGTGGCAACCTTTAGGATTTTTCTCGAGACGGTTGCTAGACGCTGAATCTAGGCAAAGCACGCTCGGTAGGGAACTCCTAGCTATGTATTGTGCTGTACGACATTTCCAACATTCCATCGAAGGAAGAGAATTCACGCTTTTTACCGATCACAAACCTCTTACCTTCTCTTTAAGTTCATCTTCAGACAAGTACTCACCGCGAGAGTCTCGACAACTACATTTCGCAGTTTACTTCAGACATACAACACATTTCTGGAGCTAACAATGTAGTCGCAGACGCCTTGTCTCGAATAAATTCCTTGAAGTTTCCAAGGAATCGACCTTCTTAAACTCGCTCAGCTTCAAAAAGAAGACATTGATCTTCAGCATGAGTTATACTCGACAACTCTTAATTAAATTAAGTATTAGGAAGATGGGAACAGGTAAGGAAACCTTACTCTGTGACACATCTACAAGTAGGGATCGTCCAATTGTACCAAAACATTATCGACGCAACGTCTTCAATACGTTGCACAATCTTTCTCATCCAGGTGCTCGTGCAACAATCGAAATTATAGCCGAACGCTTTTGTTGGCCTGGCATGAATAAAGACGTGAGGGAGTGGGCACGCTCCTGTGTAAGCTGCCGGAAATCTAAGGCAATCAGACACAACAAATGTCCCTTAGGCTCTTTCAAAACCCCTGACGCTCGTTTCGACCACGTCCATCTACATTTGGTAGGACCCTTACCCGACTCGAATGGATACTCATATCGCCCAACATGCGTAGACCGTTTCACTCGATGGCCAGAAGCAGTACCGATTAAGGACATTACTGCTGAAACCGTGGCCCGCGCTTTCGTCGAACGATGGGTAGCAAATTTCGGCTGCCCTTCAACCATCACTACAGACCGCGGACGCCAATTCGAATCTGGACTTTTCCGT